GATAATCATAAACATTTAGTCTCACTAGTGATCAAAATCAAGGTTAAATGAAATAAAACTTTTCCCTTTTTCAAATATTAAAGCAGAAAAGAGATAATACTAAAATGCTATCAAGGATATAGTTAGAGGCCACTCTCACACAGGACTGATGAGAATGAACTTTGTAAGTTATTTCTGAATAGCAGTTTGATAATATGAACATTGAACTGTCTATACCCTTTTATTTTAGAAACTAGAGGCCCGGTGGATGAAAATTGATGCACTTGAGGGGAGGTCCCTCAGCCCAGCCTGCCCCCTCTCACAGTCCAGGTGCCCTCAGGGGCAGGAGGCAATGCTCCCATCACACCTCTGCTGCTGCCACTGCTGGCAGCACAAGCCTTGGCTCGCCCTGGTTACCTGAGCCTCGAGCAGCCCTAGGTGGCTGGAGGGCTGAGGGGACTGGGATACTCTGGAGGCAGGCGTTTGGCCCCATGGGGCTAAGAGGACTGGGCGCTGCCATCTTGTGGCTGTGGGTGCTGCCACCTTTGAGGGAGTGGCAGTGAATTAGCACATTCCCTCCTTATTGCCATCTTTGTGAGGGTGTGATGGTCAATTAACATATTCTCTCTTTATTAGATAGGATTCTATGTTAGAAATGTCTTCTAAGAAAGTAACCAGAGATGTGACCAAAGTTTTAAAATATGTCGTCATCACAGTATTATTTACAACTAGAGGCCTGGTGCATGAAATTCATGCATGGAGGTGGGGGTCCTTCAGCTTGGCCTGCATCCTCTCCAATCTGGGACTCCTTGGAGGATGTCTGAATAGAGTTGGACATGATTCTCACAACCTAGGACCTCTGTCTCCTAACCGCCTGCCTGCCTGCCTACCTGCCTGATCGCCCCTAATCATCTCTGTCTGTCTGATTGCCCCTAACTGCCTCTGTCTCAGCCCCGCACCCAGAACCCAGGATTTCCTACTCTGGCCAGCTGCAGGCACTGGGACCCAGGCTGGCTTCCCTGGGCCTTCCACAGCTGCAGGAGACCAAGGGCAGGCAGCCTCACCCTCTCTTGGGCTGCAGCCATAGGCGCTGGTGGCTGGGACTGAGGGGTGGGCAGCTTGTCCTGGGCCAGGTTTTGTTAGGAAGGATGTCTGGTTTAATTAGCATATTACTCTTTTATTAATATAGATAGTGATAAATAGGAAGCAGCCTAAATTCCAGCAATAGAAGAAAATGATGAATCATGTTATATTTAGAAAACAGAGTATTAATATACAAACATCAAAAAAAAATTTTTTTTTAAATATATTTTATTGATTTTTTACAGAGAGGAAGGGAGAGGGATAGAGAGCTAGAAACATCGATGAGAGAGAAACATTGATCAGTTGCCTCTTGCACACCCCCTACTGGGGATGTGCCTGCAACCAATGTACATGCCCTTGACCGGAATTGAACCTGGGACCCTTCAGTCCACAGGCCGATGCTCTATCCACTGAGCCAAACTGGTTTCGGCAACATCAAAATTTTAATAAAAAAATATTTAAAAACATGATAATGTGTTAAGTATAAAAAGCAGGCTACAGAACCATACAATCATCCAAATAATATCTTTGAATAATATTTGACACCACAGTCATAACAAAATGTTAAGTTAGAAGGTAAGATGGTGAACTGTATAATTTTGATAACTATTACTTGTACAGTTCTTTCTCTGTGTGCTCATGATATTAGAAATGCTTTATACATATCACCTCATTGAGGCCCATAGACCCTGTGAGGCATTGAACACTTTGTTCAGGTTACAGGGCTTGTAAGTGGAAGGGCCCAGTTTTAAAAAAAAAAAAAATCTACACTAATAAAAAAGAAACATGCAAATTGACCATCATTCCACTATGCCCACCAGCCAATCAGGAGGGAATATGCAAAATATAAGGGCAAAGACGGTGGCAGAGTGGCTAGGTGGGGAGGGAGATGAAGGGTTCTAGAGGAGTGTCACTCCAGCCACAGTGAAGACGAAGACTGTAGACTTGGAGTCTGCAGCAAAGATGAAGATGGAAGATGGCAGATTCCTGTCTGAGTCTGCAGCGAAGACAGCAGACTCTGGCCCGAGTCGCAGTGAAGGTGAAGGCGGCAGACTCCGGCCAGGCCAGAGTGAAGGCCTAGGTCCCGGGTGCTGGAGGAAAACTGGTGCTGGAAGTCAAGGGAAGGAAGGCCTTGGCACGAATCTCTTTGTAAAACTGGCCTCTACTATTTTTGTTGATTTCAGAGAGGGAGAGAAAGAGATAGAAATAGTAATTATGACAAAGAATCATTGATTAGCTACTTTCTGCAAGTCCCACACTGGGGATAGAGCCTATAACCTGGGCATGTGCCCTGACCAGGAATTGAACCTCTGACCTTCTGGCTCATAGGTCAATGCTCAACCACTGAGCCTCACTGGCTGGGCTGGAAAGGCCCAATTTTGAAGCCAGATCAGGCTCCAGCAGCCATGCCTGTATCTTTGATCCACACAGCCTCTTACATAGCATGCCAGATTGAGCCCAAATGTGCTGTATTGTGTGTGTGTGTATTCATGCAGAGTATTTGAAAAATTCTCTGAAACATTATAAGTGGTTATCTCTGGATGGTGGCTTTATTTATTTATTTATTTATTTATTTATTTATTTTTTACCACATTTCACTACTCCCACAAGCATTTGCAACAAGCAGTACTATAAGGGGCCAGTGATGAAAGGCGGCACCAGTAGCTCCCGAAATTACAGACAGATGGTGGTAGGTGATTATTCTTGTTCTGGATCTCCTTCTGGGGCAGAGGCCTGTCAGTCTGTGACGTGGTAACTCAGTCAATCCAGTCTGTGCACACATGTGTCTTTGCCAGGCACAGTACAACTGTCACACTGGTCTCCTTTCTGTCACCCACATTGAAGAAAAGGTGTCTGAGGAAGATGTAAACCACACCTGTGTGTGAGTGACTTTACAATGTGTGACCTTTCAGTAATGAATATACTCTCATTTAAAAAGAATTGGTGCCTTAGCCAGTTTGGCTCAGTCGATAGAACACTGGTTTGTGGACTGATGTGTTCCAGATTTGATTCAAGGGCATGTATTTCCACTATAGGCTTGATCCCTGGCCAGGAGGCAACCAATCAATGTGTCTCTCTCACATTCATACTTCTCTCTCTCTGTCTCTCCCCCTCTCTTCTTTTCTAAAAAAAAAAAAATCAATGGAAAATATGTTTGGGTGAGGATTAACAAAACAAACAAATACACAAACAAAAGAATTGGAGAACCCAAGATTTTAGATGAATTTTATACTCTTTTAAAAAACCTCCTTGCACTACATATATATATTTTACAATGAGTTGTTTTCACTTGAATAAAACCTACTGTTGGAAGTTATTTTAAACATATGTAAATATACTATGGAATAATTAATATATTTTGGGCTTAATGTCTATTGAGTCTTGTTAGGGATCCTCCTTCCATCCAAGACTCTGAGACATCATTCCTGCCTACAGATAACTTTAATCTACTTCAGGAACAAGGAGATGTATAAAAAAAGTTTCAAGGCAATAAGTGCCAACTGCAATCTGAGACGAGAACAAGCATTACACAGTCAGTGGAAGAAGTTGAGTGTGGGGTTGATCCTTAGTAGGATCCTTAGATTGTGAGGAGAAGGAACAGGCACAGACATAAGATATTTTATTTATTTATTTATTTATTTATTATTTTTAAAAAATGTATATTTTATTGATTTTGTACAGAGAGGAAGGGAGAGAGATAGAGAGTTAGAAACATCAATGAGAGAGAGTCATCGATCAGCTGCCTCTTGCACACCCCCTACTGGGGATATGCCCGCAACCAAGGTACATGCCCTTGACCAGAATCGAACCCGGGACCCTTCAGTGACCAAGCCGACGCTCTATCCATTGAGCCAAACCGGTTTCAGTGATAAGATATTTTAAATGACTTAAATCTCATCCAGGGAACCATGTATCAGTGGTAAGGATCCACTGAACATTTTGAATGGAAGATAACAGCAAGATTTGAGGGAAGGTTAATCAGGCATGTGAAGGGTGGGCAAGAATACTAGCTTAGGTAACTATTTTAATAAACCAGATGTGAAATGAAGAGGCCTTATTAGGGTGGAGGCTGGGATAAACAATAGTGATGCCAGAATAGAGAATGGGGGAACAGCATTAGGATATAGTCAGGCCTTGTTTAATATTCACATCTCAGATTAAAGGATTTTTGTACTTTCTGTTAGATGTCACTAGCTGGAATTCCATATTTCTTGAACCAGATGACAGTACCCCTCCAATGCTGTATAAGCACACACTTTTCTATAATTATTTCTGCATAGCATGTTGTCATTAAAAAAAATCTGTGTTGTTGAGAATATTGCAAGGAGGGTTATCTCAACTGTGGAGATCTCATACTGAGGAACAATGATTCCCAACCCACACCAGACCTTCTTCTCAGGATTCCAGGGCTGGAAAAGAAGTCCCCATAATTCCTGTTGGTAAAAATCAGTGGGGATTGTGGTTGAGTGAGATAGAGGGCTGCTGGAGTTCCAGGTAGTTCCTCTTAAAGGGCCCACACATGGATTTACTTGGACTCACTTCCTCTGAGCTCCAGAGCTTGGGCACCAGCTTGAAAGTAACTAAAGACATATGGGGAGGAACTCAATTGTCTGTCAACAGTGTGAGAATTGGGGAGGACAGCTTTCTCCCAGGCAGAACTGCCTGATAGAGGCCATAATTCCTCTTCTGAGACCATCCCCTACAGAGCTGGCAGATGGACCACGGGGGACCAGCTATCTGAGGCCAACCGAGGCTTTGTGGCTCTGCCATATTGTTCCTCCTGGCAGGACTCTGACTTATGGTATCTTCACCCCATTGGCTCCTCCTAGTAGTTAATTTTAGTTCAAACTGTTGCTATAATAAAAGCAGAAGGAGGCAGGAGAACGGGGCTATCTGGTTCCTTTAACCAGATAGTCCCTTAGTCCTCTCTTTCATAGAAACGTATGTCAGAGTAATCATTCATCTATCTCAGGGTCTGCTGGTCAGACCTGGCAGGAACTCCCATAAGACTGACTTCTCCCATAAAGCTGATTTCTCAACAGAAACATTTCAGATCAGAAGGGAGTGGCAAGTAATATTCAAAGTGATGAAAAGCAACCAAGATTACTCTACCCAGAAAAGCTATAATTTAGAACTGAAAAACATAGAAAGAGCTTTCTAGACAAGAAAAGGTAAGAAATTCATCACCACCAAACCAGTATTAATGACATGCTAAAAGGTCTTTCTTAAGAAGAAGAAAAGAAAAAGGAGAAGAAGGGGGAAATATAAAAAAAGTATGAACAATAAGATGGAAATAAGTACACGTCTATCAACAATTGAATCTAAAAAACAAAATTAACAAAGAAGCAGAACAGAAACAGATTCATAGATACAGAGAACATTTTTATGTTTGCCAGATGGGAGGGGAATTTGGGGTTATGAATGTAAAAGGTAAAGGGATTAAGAAATACAAAATTTTTTTTATAGAGTAATCACAATGATATAAAGTACAACATAGGAAATGTTGTCAATATTATTCTAATAACTATGTAAGATAGCAGATGGTGCAAAATTTATCAGGATGACCACTTAGTAAATCATATAATATATAATCACTGGGGAGTATACCTAAAACTAACATAATATTGTATGCCAACTGTAATTGAAAAATAAAAAAATGATTTAGAAAATAAATATAAGGAGGCAGTGTTCTTTGCAATAGATCATTCACTCTGTCACTTACCAACTACTGATGGTGTACTAGTGTCAGACCCTGCTCTCAGTGCTACCTGGAGAGATTCTTCCTTCTGTGTTGCAAGCCTTATAGAAATTCTAAATTCCCTTTTGTAAGTCAGTCTGGGGTTAGTGGCTCTTTCCTACTGTCTCTCAGACATCTGAGGACTCTCCCACAAGTGCTGAGCAGACAGTTGAGAAGCCCCACTTCCTGTCTCTTTCATGTAAGTGCCTACTGAACCACTGGGAGAAGAGGGAAAGCTCAGAAGAGCCAGCCTCAAAGTGACAACACCATGGACAACCCTGTCTGTCTGATTACCTTGGTGAAGCCCAGACAGGGGGAGAGAAAAGCCAAAGTTTTGAGGGGAAAAATGAGTAAAAGGAGAGGAACAAGACAAAAATTGTGAGCAAAGTGTAGGGAAGAAGAGGAAAGAATGGGAGGGGAAAGAGCTCAAGTTACAAAAATGAATGATAAGCAGATGGTGAGAAGTGGCTTCTAGGAACTAGGAAACAGTCTTATTTTATTGGGAGAAAAAGATATGCTGATGGAGAACAGGAAGGAAACAGAAAATACCATGTCAGGTTGGAGCTGGCCAGTACCAACTTTCTTAATTTACAAATGAGGCGTAGAGAGGGGAAGTGGTCGGGAGCTCAAAGGTAGGATCTTGGAAGAATTATCTGCTTTCTCTCTCTGTCCACTTTCTTACCTTCCCCTTCCCTTGGCATGAATCAGTACTAGAGGACAGGCCTGGCAGATATATAACACAGGAGGGTCATGGAGCAGGGAAGGGAAGACCTTTAAGATCTTTTCTGCTCTTCTTCAGAGCTACAGACCAACGAGTGTCTGGGGTGGCTGCAGCACCTCTAGGCAAACATCCTGCAGAAGGAAAGGTGGCTGTGAGTGGGTGCAGATTCAGCAGTGTGATTGTGTGCAGAGTGTGGGGCTCCTGCAGGCTGACACTCTCCACAGTCCTCTTTGTCCCCATCATCAGGTAAATGTGCCTCTTTGAATCCCCGTGGGTCTGTTCTCCACATGTTGTATATAGAGTCCTCACATGAGACTTCAGAGACAAGAAAGTGAGACTCCGCCTCTGTATTGTTTCCACTTCCTTCAGGACACCCTCTTGTAGAATTAACCTGGGTTCCTCACTCATCGTATTTTTAACTCTGTCCTGTAGAGTTTGCCTTTGCCCCCTCAGCCTGGATTTTAGTTACACATCTCTGTCTTCTTCCTTCTCTAGATTAGACATTGTCTGAGGCCAGGAGGACCCAGCCCTATTCATATACATGCTTTGCCTGCCTCCTTCCCCCAATGTGAGGCCATTAATGTGTATCATGCTTTGGAGTGTGAAAAACCAGTGATCAGTGTAGGAATGTTAGTTACACATTTATGATGAGAGTTCTGAAGGTTGGAAAAAAGAGATTTGGGTGCAAGAAATGGAAGGTTACTCTAAGAATGGGTGTGGCAGGAAAGACAAGTATAACTCAGGGAATGGAGGGTGAGTGGGAGGAAAGGAAGTGGATGTTGCAAGAGAAGGGTGAAGAGTGAGAGTGAAAGCACCAGGAAAAGGAAGAGAGAGCCTGGGCAGACACAGAGCTCCAATGCTGCACAGCCTTCCCTGTCACTCTGTCATTCCACCACCCCTGCTGCTGTGCACTCACAGAACCTCAGCCTCAGACCTCATTGTCCTTGTTTATCACTGTTAAGCTGGTCATTTAGATCGTTTGTTTTATTTCCACCTTACTCTGATTTGGGACATTTAGCAAAAAGAGGTCATGGCCCCCTTGCATGCTGCCTTAATAAGATGAAAATAAATTTATCAATCAAAACCATTTGAAAAAATAAATTTTCTGACACACACGTGTGTGTTTTTCTTAATATATGTTATTGATTTTTTTACAGAAAGGAAGGTAGAGAGATAGAGAGTTAGAAACATTGTTCAGCTGCCTACTGGGTATGTGCCCGCATCCAAGGTACATGCCCTTGACCAGAATTGAACCTGGGACCCTTGAGTCTGCAGGCCCACCCTCTATCCACTGAGTCAAACTGGTTAGGGCCATTTTTTTCTTAATAGTTATTTGTAGAAAGAAAAATTCCCATGATTATTCCCATGGCTTTAACATCATTGTTGGCTCTCTGAGAATAAACTTTATAATTTGATACACAATAATCCTTATGCATGTGCCTATTAATAAGTGTGGATAATGAGATTTTCATCATTATATTTGCTGTTTCTGCCTCTATACCCTTTAAATTTGCTGTTTTTCAGCCTCCAATAGCCCAGATATCAGGAGTTTCTGTAGAAATGAGCCATGAGTTTGCTCTTGGCTCTATGACAGGACCCTGGGCTCGCTCACTGGAAAAATGCTGTTGTCCCCTCTGGGTCAGAGGTGTTTGTGGCATAAGCTGCCATCGCTGCCTCTTTCTTCAGCTTGAACCCTATCTAGAATCCTGAATGAACATTTTGACATTTTATAAAGTCGCCTACCCTCATTTGTCAAAATATGTCCCGAGGAAGATTTGTTGAAAGTGAAAAAATTTCATAACCGCTTCCTCTCAGGGACCCACTAGAAGTGTATGGCCATCCTCAGCCAGCCCTACCCTCCCACCCTCACCTCCAGCCAGCTAAGAATTCTTTTGAATCACTGTTGGAACCGGTTGCTTTAATGCTAGTCCCTTTCCTTGTGCTAACAGTGTGTCTCCTCCACTGAATTGCAAAGGTCTTAAGAGAGAAACTTGATCTTGTTTATCTTTGAATCCCCACAGTGACTTGCTCAGTATTTATTGAGTGTATGAATGATGAGTGAATGAATGAAACACGGGAGCATTCCTTGTGTTCAGAGCTCAGCAGAGGGCTGGACATCAGACTCATTCACAAATTGGGCTGCTTGAGAGATCTTCCCCTGAAGAACAGGCTAATTTCATAGTGCATCTTCCTCACTACAAGTGCTTCCCCATGATAGCCTCTCCACCAGTATTTTTAGTATGTGGACTTTCTGAACCTCAAGAGCAGCATCCACTTCCTGGAACTCGTTCTCTGGCTGACAGCCAGTGACCCACAGAGGAGGGAACTTGGGCGGGGCTTGACAAGCCAGAGTCTGTTGTAGTGCCATTCTGTTGAGGGAGAGGAAGTCAGACTAAGTTTTACAGAAAGCCTCCATTTCACCCCTTCTATTCTTCTGCTGAGGCCACCAACTTCAGTATAAACTAGAAGCTAAAAGATAAAAATCCTGTTCGTAAATCCCAGGAGGAAAAAAGCCTCTCCCATCCTTGCCTTATATGACAGTTACATCAACCCTGAAGGTATTACCAGGTCAGGTGATGTTAGAAAACTACCAGGATGTAAATATAGCTTTTATAGATCCTAGGATAGGCCTGAGCCATAACATGCTTTGTTGCACCAAATGGAATCTGATTGGGACCAAGCAAGAAAGCCCTGAGGGAAATTGAGAAAGGAGAAGTGTTTCTTAAATGGTGGGGCTGTGGGCAGGAGAAGACATGGGACTGTTGTCCCAGAGCTATGAGAGTTCTTTGGGAGGATTTTACAATTGTGTGTTTCATGTTTATGATTAGCTAAACAGATAAGCATATTCTATGCTGGCCAGACATCCCTTTAGGTAGGAGTAGAGCAGGTCCTTGATAACATCTTTTTGTTCAATGTCATTTTGTCATAATGTGGATGAGGTGACTGGTAAAATTGGTTTTGTTATATGTTTTTTGCTATCTTGAAGAACCTATTGCTATCATTAAGTGAGGACTTAATATACCCTTTTGCCACATTAAGACCCATGTCTACAGATGTGGTTATAATCATTTTGATACCTAGGATAAGCATTACCCTAACCAGAGCCATTAATCCCTCTGCCCCTGAAATATAACAATCACTCTTGCTACTAAGCTGGAGTCTGATAAGTACAATTTCTTTTACTTTCTAAGGAAATCTTTTTCTAGATTTGTGGTCCTGCCTATAAAGAATAAGAATAAAGAAAAAGAACCACTATTTGGGGGAATTGCATCATTCCAATCATCATCGTTATTACCATCACCACCACCAACATCAGAAGTATTTACTAGCCTCTGCCCTAGGAACTGCAGTAGGTGTTAGTAATGGAATGTTGTTGCTGTTTCTCCATGAGAACCACATGGATGCTGGAATGTTATCTTGGATCAGAACACATGTCTTGATGCTAATGATGTGAAGGCCAAGCTACCCTGGAAGGAGTGGTTTAGATGGAATTCTGCAGGACTTTGTTTCTGGAGCATTGGTTGGGCTGGGCCAGAGGATTAGAAGAGAATTTGGGGAGAATGTCTGCCCTGGAGCCAAAGGACAAGACAATATATGTTGAATAGTAACAAATAGGCAAGGGAAGAGGTCTTCTATCACAGGGACCCATAATGCTATGAGCAAAACTGCTTTGGGCTAAACCAAATTACTATAGTGAGACTGGGGACAGACATCACCAGGACCT